ACAGCTGCATCTGTTGAAGAAATCAATGTGACTAAAGACAAACGCATGGATGAGTTTCCCTAGATCTTCTTGGTACATTAGTCCTTTAAGCCTGGAAATGTTCGTCAGGTGATGGAAGGCTGACTTTGTGGTTGTCTTTGTGTGTCTCTGAAGGTTCAGGTCTCAGTCCATTGCCACGTCTGATCATTGGTTTCTAGCTGTGATAACTGAAGCGGTGGGCTGATTCTAGGTTGCTCAGAAAGTTGAGTGGTTGGCAAAAAAACAGAAAATTATCTGAAAGCAAAAAGTAGTAGATTACCCGGAAATCTTTTTTTGAGCCAGCCAGAGATTTAAAGACGAGCAGCAAAAGCAGAGGAGGTGGATTAGCAGTGTTTGCCAACAACTGATGGTATCAACTAGGACACACTACTGTATCTTTTGAGCTGCGTTATTAAGTCTTCAGTCAAAGGTCTCTTCCGATTAACTGCAAGACTGATTGCTACAGGAGCAACACCATCCACAACAAATCTTATTTGGACCATTTGAGTTATTATGACAACCATCACTTTAAAGGTCTGCAAAATTATCTAGATCCTTAGTGTACATTTTGTTGTCCATTCCTTTACACTCTAGAATAAAACTAATGAAGCAGAAAGGAACCTTGCAGCAAAACAGAATAACATGCAATCACCCAATGGAGCTTAATTTCAGAGAGGAACAGTCTTTAAGAACATCTATCAGATCTGTTATCTTAATCTATGTACCAGACATTAACAAGGAAAACTGAAACCACTTCACGTAGCACAGATATTTAGTTAAATAGGAGAAGGAGAAAGGCCTGTTGAGTCTCTCTGTCAATCTAGTTTCAGCACAGCAATCTTATCCACTGCAATGTTTTGAGCCCTAAGGCAGTTACTGCATTGTTAACCGATATCCTGCATGTATTTGCAATAGTTTACATATTTAAATTTTTAACCAATAACAAGAAAGAATTAGTTTCAGTTTGAAGTTTTGTTCAGTCAGCTCAGTGCTGGAACCAATAATGATTTAACTGTTGCATCAGTGGCTCCGCAAGCAACTGAACAAATAAAATAAAGTTTAGTCCTTGTCCTTGATTTTTCCTGTAGGTTTTGTAAATCCATGTCAAGATTATTTTGAACCTTTGGAGACTTTCTGTCAATCTCAAAACCTAAAAACGCATTAACGTTAAATTGTGTGGCGCTTCTTGCTGTAGTGATGTGAGTTTTACACGAACGTCAGCTTCAAAGTAAGCAAAAGAGGCAAGTTGGAGTGTTTTTGGTTTGTCTGAGAGCAATTAGCTTCCAAGCCCACGTCTCGAGCACTCTGAACAGAAAATGATTTTCGATATTGTACGAGACAGATGGCTGGTGTTAAGGTTCATGTCTGATTTTTAATAAGGGAGAACCCATCATGATCTGTCTAAGCTCGGAAAAGAAGTGGTAGATTAGGTGGCAATCTAAACAACAGACAGCAGAAGTGGCGCATCGGGATGAATGCTCTCAACTGATTATCAGGCGAGCCTGCTTGCCTGCAGTCTGGGCTCTCTTTGCACGACTCATTAAACTGTGGCTTCCCAAAGCTACTGTAATGACCTACATCGTAGGGCATGAAATTTACTTCAGATCCAGAAATTGCAGTATTAGTCTGTCTATACAGTGAAAAGGAAAAACAACAAGCAGACGCACAGATTTCAGTAAACCTTACAAAGGTGTTCGTATCCCACTAACATTTTTAGATTTTGATTCATTTAATACTTTTAGTATTTTTTATTGAGATTTTGATCTGTCCGAAATCAATTGAGGCATTCTGGTGAAGTGGAAGGACATGATTGATGAATTTTAAGAGCTGTTGTGCTGCTGGCATTTTTAACTTAACCCCAGCAGCCTCTTTCATGTTCTCTTTATCTGTGTTGACAGTTTTCCTCCAAAAAAAAAAAAAAAAACTTTCGCTTTGGTTTGATCCAGTAGTTGCAAAGAGGATTTCTAACAGCTTTCTTTTAAAAATGTCTTTCTTCTTGTACCATTTCTGTATCTGTAGTTAAATATATATTTAATGTTTGTCCTCAGACTTATGTGATTTTTGTATTCTGATCTGCATGGTGAAATTAAATTACATGTTTCATTCTTTAAATTGTATGATTTGCTAATAAAACTGCAAGATTTACAAATTAGTCTTTTGCATTCCTTGGGAGAGCAAACTTACCTTGATCTTTTGCATCTAAAACATCAAATATATTCATTGGACAAAGAATGCACTCAGTCACTTCAGTCGCAGGATTTCCATCCTGTTACGACCGTTGACATTCTTTGAATAACTTTTCGGTTTTATCTGGTTTATCAGCTACTGTAATCCTACAAGCGTCAGAAACAAGTTTCCAGTCAGAGAGGGAAATTTTGAAGGTTAGTTTCCACTCTGTGTATGAGTTTATAGTTTAGATACAAGTCTGTGCTGGTGGGAAATGAAAAAAGTATTGAAGGAAAGATTAGTCAGAAATGTCCTGAAGGCTCTTGCAGATCATCTAATTTAAACATGATTGACTGAATGAAGTCTCCGTCTACAGTCTCTCCTTGAAATACTCAGCTCATACACTCAGAGTTACATGGTTTTGTAAGAACATTAGGCTTAACACTTCAAAGGTTTTAGTTTAAAGAAAAGTCTGTGTCCTTTCCAAGTAGATGGAAGTTGATTATTGTTAGATTGTCGGAAAACAAACTTTTTCCACATAAAAAATGGAGCTGAAAAAAAAAGAACCATTTGCTCAAACTTTTGGTACTAAGATTCTGAAAAGAATGGGGTCACTGGGGAAGATTTTCACTGGCAAATAATATTGTCAAAGAGACACCTCACTGTGTTTCCATTACAAATGTGAGGAAAATGTTGATATTACCCTAATGTAAAAAAAAAAAAACCACAACTTCACAGTTGAGGTTCAATAAGAAAACATGCTGTACCCCTTCCTGTTGTCTTCTTTGTCTTTTCCACCAATAGTTGCATCTGGTTGTTGATCATGTGACCTGTGTGATGGGAAAAGTGTTTCCATTGCAGTTTTGTGAAATATACTAATTATGATATAGCCAAAAAAATCACCTCATCCTAGCACACATTTTTTAACAAAAAAAATGTGTCTTTTCAAAATTGGCATGTTTCCAACAAGCACATTTACTTTTGTAATTCCAATTTCCACAATTATATGGTCAATGGAAATGCAACTATTGAGCACTGAGCTGTATGTTGCTGCCATTTTTGATGTGACAAAGTGATACAATTGGAGAAGATGCCTCAATCATGTGCAGCGTTGAACTGAAGTATCTATTTCAGGGTACAAGCCAGATCCACTAACATTACCTCAACAGGTAAGAATGAAAACAGATTTGTGATTATGTTTGTCTGTCATGTCATTTTAAGAGCTAAATTCCCTGACTCTGCACCAAATACTTTGGATTTCTGGGATGTAAATAGCCACAAATCAACCAAGAAATTGCTCACATTTACCCAACTTGCCCTGAAGTAACAGCTCTGACTGATGCAGGTTTCCGGAAGATGGAGAGCTAAGAAAAGCTATGGGAAGCAGCTGTCAGAAGGGAAGGTTTTTGTGCTAGCTCGTCATCCATTGCACTGCAGTGAGCATTTCAGACCAGAGCTTAGACAGGTCAGTCAGTCATGATCAAACCTGCAGCTGTTGCTTCAGTCTTCCTTTTTTCCCCAACTCTTCGACACAAGGTTGTGTGTAACTGTTGCTACAATTCAATGTGGACGATTCTTAAAGAAATATAAAATTATCTTTAATCCTTCGTCTTAGCCTGTGGCTTCTCTGACCTCAAAGAAGACTCAGGTGACCCAGTCACTGGATCATCGCTCCCGGCTTATCCCAGAGGCTAGCTCCTGCCTGTGACCAATGTTGTGAATAATATGTGATAGCTCTGCTTCAAAACAGCTGTGAGCATCATGACCCCGGGCCACCTCCACCCTCTGTCACTCTTGCACAGACTCATGTTCACATACGGACAAACACATGCCAGTACTGAATCTGAGTCCTGCAAACAAATACACACAAATAGTTGCTAAAATAAACATGTTGACATTTTCAGAGGAGTGGTCATCTGGAAGATCTGAGTGAAGAACTGGAAGTTTGACATCCCAGCTCAGTTTTTAGTAAGGTAAAAACAAACCCAAGCTTTTAACTCTTTTTGAGATGCTGGTTTTAATGTTTTGTTTGTTGTTTTCATTAATTATTATAAATTTGCTTGTACGTGTTTTTAGTGTATAGTGCTTTGGCCAACAGAACATTTGTACATTGGTATTTATTTTTTTTAGATTATTATCAGACCTTTTGTCCCTTGGTTTGTTTGTTTTTTGCATCTTATTAATGCGTGTCTGTGTTAACTAGTCTTTCACTAAGTTTCCTGATTATTTTTGTCATTTCAGCCTCTGCCAGAGTACATAAGCTTATCGGTTTGATTGTTTTTTGATGGCTTTTTCTGTTAAACTCTAGCTGGTTCCTTGTCCCACTCCTTCTTACTGTTTTCTAACTTATTCTTTTGTTTTGTTTTACATCTCAACCAATCAGATTTCACATTCCCAATCAGGCGTTGAAAAGTCCTAAAATGAGCCAGTGTTGTTTACACGTATGTAAGGAATAGAGTGGGTCTCATTAGGAATACACTACAATAAACTTCTTAACTAGTCTGTATATTAAAAGTCATACCATTTATCCACACATCAATGAAAAGATATTGAATGGATTCAGAATGATAAACCGCAATGTTGACACAATCGCAATTTAATGATTAAAACAATCTTACCAGTAATCCAACTAATGCATTTCAGTCACCAAAATATAAACAAATATGAAATTTAAGTTCTAAAAGGAGGATTCTGAAGTTCTGAAGAAAATTCAAATTGAGGAAGACCTTTAAGTCCAGCAGCCTCTGTGGTCCAGAAACTTCCTTAATTACAGGACGGGACAGTAGTTTCTACAGCTGGATAAGGTGGTTGCTTACTTTTTTTTGAACAACTTGAGTTTCTGCTCTGGGTTCAGTACGGCAGAACTTGTCTTCCTCTCTCAGCTGGAGGAAATGTCAGCCTTGCCTTCAGAGCCGCTCTGACCCTCTGAGGCTGGGGGGCTGATGGATGTCAGGCAGCTGCTCTCTTTGTGATCCAGAACTGAATTGTGAGCAATTAAAAGAAAACTTTCTTGGTGGATTATCTCTGTTTCAATTACATGACAGAATAAACAAACACACTTACAAGAAATAAAGACTTGCTCTAGAATAAGTGAGAAAGACTTGTCTTTGTAGTCTATTCTCTTTCCCAGTCTTTTCACACTTTTCTTTGCACCAACACAGAATTGAAAGCTCAAAGAAGTCATCCAATTATGGTAACATCAACATTATCTGACATGTGTGTGTAGAAATAATTTATAATAGCAGCTTCATGATCAAACACATTATATTTGGACAATTTTAAGAGCGCAGTCTGTGGAATAAAAGCTTAGTTTAACTGAATTGTCGCAATGAAAAGCCTTTAAATCCAGTTAAACCTTAGTTATTCAAGCAGCTGACACTTTTAGACTTAACACAATCTTTTAATTTTACCAACTCTTGAGACAATTTTTTTAGCCTGGCAGGCAAAGTCCTTACTCAAATCTGATTGAGCATATATGCTAAGGGACTAACATAAAAGAGTGACGCCAAGGAGCCCTTCTGACTTCAAATAGCTATAGTTCAGAGATAAATCATCATTATACAGCTGGGAATGTGCAAAACTCTGATCAGCAATTATAAGACTTTCATTGCTGCAACGGAAAGAAAATCTCCCACTATGCACATTAAGTTTTTTTTTATTTTCTTACTTCATTTCTTCTTCTAAGATGCTAATTCCCCACTTTGCTTTTAGTGTTTAGTAATGCATTAAGCAGTTCTTTACCCAAACACATTCCTGTAATCTCCTTAGATGTTTGCTCTGCTTGATTTGACCCTTCTTAAAGAGACCAATATCTTTTCCATGACCACAGGATGTGTCTTTCCACATGGTTGTTTAAGAAATGAAAAGCTACTGATTACATCAGTTGGGGTTAAATAACTTTTTCCCAGCTGGAAAATAATCACCAATGCAGTAATTATCCAACAGGAGGCTCATAGTTGCAGTTTTTGCTGCACAATTCAAGCTTCCCAAGATAATTTCTTGTCCCTGCTGATTGAGGGACGCTGTGTACCTAAATTTGCATTGTTGAAATACAGGGCACATTGTTATTTGGATGGAACAGGACAAATGAAGAAGTGGCTGTGCCTCAGAACAGTGCAAGTTTTCCACCTGTCAGAAATAAAAAGAGGAATTCTTTTAATGTTTCCACCTTTTTGATCTGTCTCTTTTGTGTTAGCACCTGTCAACGCCGCTGGCCTTTAATCTCTCAAAACTCAAAGGAGTTAGAGACTGATGACATTTAGTGTCTGGGAGACATTCTTAAAGTCCCCTTCAGCTTCCATTCTTTATGGCGTTTCTGCCTCAGTTCTGATTATCACTACTGAAGAAAAAAACTGAAAGTGTTGCAATGTGATACAATTTACTTTGACTATGACTCAGTCTGACTATGACCTGGAGATTTTCATGCTTGTCTTCTTTTACTACAATGACCATATAATATGTGTAGAGTGTGGCTTAAAACTGGCTTTTTGACTAATGTATGAACACCATCTAGAAAAATGACTTCCAATCTGGACAACTCCAGCCTGGACTTGAGTTTTAACTTCTCATCTTTCACCTGGAAACATAGGAAGACATTTTCTTCCACAAAAATATTAATCAGACAGATAAATCTATGACACTGCATATTTTGGCTTAGTCCAATATCAAGTAGAAACGGATACAGATACTTCATTTTGGGTTTGAAGTTCTATTATTGTTTTAATAAAACATTATTATGTCTTTTACATAAAAACTAACCACAAAACTGAAAACAGTGTAACGCTCCTTCAATTTTGTGTCTTTTTATCGAGCTTCACACAAAGGAAGCCATTGCTTCTCAGCGAATTTCATAACAGTAAGGTTTCTCTGGTTTTTGCAATAACGCATAGAGAAATATTAATTTTACAAATAAAGAGACCAAAATTATGTATTTTTTATGTGGGAACCGTCTCAAAAGGGGCAAAATACAATATGTTAAAAATGAATCCAGTAGTCTTTCAGCTATTTCTCAGCTAACTCAACATAAACACAGTCAACTAGCATTAACATTAAGTAGCCTCCAAAAATATGTCCTGTTTTCTACACAGCACTAATCACAAACTGTATAACGTGACTCACTAATTGACTCTCGATTAAATAACCCCTTAAAGGTAACTAATCTATATGCATCAAAATAATTTTTTACTGACCTGTTATAGAAAAGACGAGACATACAAGTTGAGCTTCTTTAGCATCTATCAGGAAGCTTTATTCTTCTTCTGTGTGCCCAACCTTCTCGATGCCAGGCGCCTCCTACCGGTTGTATGTGGAATCTTACTGAATAACTGAAATAACACTAAAGAATTTATTACAACGAGAAATTAAGGATAGAAAAATAAAAATAATAATGTGGTGCCTATTTTTATACTTAGTGTTTTCATTACTTATAGTAGCTTGTTTTCACCACTCTACACTTGTCCATAATTTCTTTCATGGGCGGTTACATTTTCTCCTGAATTACTGTGTCGGGCTGTTTTCCTTTCTTATTTATAAATTTTCACAATAAAATGTGTCTGGTTGTTTGATTTGTTTCGTTATGTTTGAAAATGGGACATTTTGTAAAACCACAAAGCGTTGAAATATTCCAGAAGAGCTGTCAAAACACTGCACTTTATTTCACTGCATCGTTACTCATTTAAATGCCAATGCTTTCCGTTATTACAAGCAACTTTCATCTCCACAAACATTTTGCCATAAATACAATTTAGTTCATTCAATCACACATTTTCAACCTAGAAACCATCAACTTTAACACTGACATTTATGCTCCTTCCACTGAATACACATTTACATTAAAATGCAGCTCAAAGGAGAAAGACAGAATGAGGGGGTGCAGCTGCAGGTTGGTGTCCAGTGGAATACAGATGCAAGCAGATTGCTGCAAAATCAAGCAACAAGTTCAGACGAAAGATCCTGACATCTTCATTATTAAGAACAGGCATACGATGTCTTCAGGAAATTGAAAACAGCTCTGTATATTAAAAAGCATACGTGGGAGCTGTTTGGATGATGGAATCTGGTACTGAACTTTAAAAAAAAAAACATGTTAAAATGTAGTAATCTTAAAATGTGACACATATAGCATGCATGAACATAAAGAGGCTGTGCAGAAGCATGACTTTTTACCTCAGAAGAGCCACTGTGACATTTTTATGCACATAACGATGCCATGAAGTAAAGATTCAGAAAGTTGTAGAAAGAGTTTGCTTCACTAAAATTGACAGTCTGAGAGTAATTTTTCTGTGTGTCCTGTGTAATTACATTTAGTGGGTTTCCCAACCAGTTCCTCTTCCACACTGCTTATTTCCATTTAAATTACCTATTTACATAGGAATAAATGAACCGTAAACCATTTCTTTTAGCTGCAAAAATGCCTGTTCGCTTATTCACATTTACGTTTTGGTTGATTCTAAATATCTTTGCACATCTAAAGAGGATTCATTTAAAGACTTTCACATCCAAATTCAGCAGAGTATAAACAGTAAAATGCTGCCCCCTTGCGGTAAAATATCCATATGGCAACAGGAGGTTAAACCTCCTCATCAAGTGTACATTACTTCGTGCCTTATCTTTCAAAATGAGGTCTACATCTTTTAGGCCTTTTTAATGGAAAGCATTGTTTTTTTCTAAATGTAGCGCTTAAGGGAAGAAAAATTTTTCACATTTTTAACAGACCAGAACATCACCTTGTACCCCTAACTTATGCTGAGCCACAGCTCTTTACCATTTTCACCCTGACAAGAACATGAATGTAAATCGATTCCAGTGATGCTGGTTGTGTGGACCGGCCGGCTTCATTTCCTCCAGGGTCTGGAATCAATGAGGCAAAAATGGAGCTTTAAGTGTCCTGAAGGAGCTGAAACCGACGGACCCTGACGACTCGGATGATTAATGAGGGGAGCTTCTGCTGAACAAGCACATCGTCTCTCAAATGACACACATGGTTGAGTTCACCGTGGCTGAGGAGCACAAATGTGTTCAGCAAAGTTAGTCCCAGTGACATGTTTACCTACCTGCCAAGTGGAAAAAATAAAGCTTTTTTTTTTTTTTTTACTGAAATACTGCTTGTCCCCTTAGGCTGAATATAAAGGTCACCGTTAGCAAGGGCCTGGTTAAGTTATTTGTGCAACAGGTTTTTGGGGAAAACAACAGCACACAGATTTAAAAGCAGTTTTTTTTACTATAAGTCAAAGTTTGCCCTGATCCTTATAAAATGACTACAGTTTCTAAATGCACAAAAGACATCAACAATTTGGAATTATTCTTTAAAATTGAGAGAGTGCCGTTTTAAACTTGCATAAATGGGTCAAAGCCTTTGATCTGCTTATTTTAATTTTATTTTTTGGCAGGGAATCTTATTTTATACCCATTTTTATACCCGTTTCTTGTGCATGCATCTTAATTCATAAAACTAAACAAATGACACGTAAAACTAAGACTTTCCCTAAGACAATCTAAGAAAGGTAAATGTCCACCAAAAAACTCACATTTTGAGATTCATGTCAGAAATTTTCTAGAAAAAATAACATTTCTAAGCTCCAAAAGTAAAAGATTTGCAAGAAAAAAAAACTGAGTTGAGATTTTTTCCCCATCTACAATGGTCCTAACACACCATTGTAGCAAAATTTTCTGGACTTGAGAAAGAGTTACACAAATGCAGGAAATTTTTAACTCAACTTGTTTCTATTCGTCAATTACTCCACACAGATTCCAGTAAAGCAGATTTATTTTCATCCCAGGACCAAAATTTGTTTCTTTTAATTTTCATCTTGGTCCACAATATACAGTACAGATACTCAAAGGCAAAAGGAAAAAAAATATATATATTTTTTTTTTGTCCAGGTCTGGGACACAGTGAGGTAACAGACAGAAATAAATTATTCAGTTGCTTAAAAACACTTTCCAATAATCATATCAATAATACAAAAATGGTATCAAACACACATGATGCAATAACTTTTGTAACACATTCAGTATATTTTTGCTCCCCTTCCATCCAGTCTGTTTGCTCGAAAGTCAGTCATTTCTTTTCTTTTTGTTTTCTTGAGTCCTTCTCTGGAAAATGTCCCTTTTAGCAGTAGCTGCTGATAAATGCAGAGTTGTTTCCACTTCCAGGCGTCGGTCATTCAGTCAAACATCATACAGAAGCACCTTAATTTAAAACTGCGTAATTATGCGACTTTTGCTTCCAATACAATTTTAAATGATTACATCTCAAATTAGTTGATTGGTTTTTACAATCATGGCCAAGGCAACAGGCATACGCAGGCACACGAGGCTACAACTCCAATCAGCTGTTTGCTTACGTTATCATTTTACATTCAGATATACACATATTCATATTTTATATTAACCGTGCCTTTCAGCTCACCTACAGGTTTAAAAAGAAAACAACATGCCAATAGGAAAAAGTCAGAGATTGTTTTCAAAGTGCAAAAAACGTATTCCTCCAAGAGTTGGTGCGCATCCTGAAGAGGAAGCCGCCCACCAAAACTTTAGTCCAATAACAGTACGAGCCATTTTTCATAGATTAGTCTGCAACGTTCCACCGATCTGGTCTGTAGCTACTGTAGGACATGGCTTTGAGCCAGAAGAGCGCAACACTGCCCTCTTCAGGCAGGTTTCCTAGCACTGACAGATTCCTAAAGCTACAGGATTTCATCCTCTACCTCACCGAGCGCTGATCATCAAATATCGTAGTCCTGAAGTCGATGGGGGAGGCGGGAAAAGCCCCTGGATTGAGATAAAGTGACATCACATTATTTTGGTTTGTGGCCAGTGCAAATCAGCTTCTCCAGCCCCATCGCCCGCTCATTTATCCCTCATCTATTCTACTTTACTAACAAATTCATAGACTTTATTTTCTGTGAAACAGCAGTGAATTTGTCTACATTGCCACATATAATTACATATTTTTGTATATCACATCTGTCATTTGTACACTTCAAAATAAAAGTAAAAAAAGAAAAAGAAAGATGGAAAGATATGATCAGAATGAGAAAAACGAAACGTAATGCTCAGACAGAATTGATCACCACTTACAAGCACATAAGAGGGAACAAACCCACTTGTTTTTTTTAAATAGGTATAACAAAGTGGCTCTTGGAGTGGGGAAATAAAATCCTCAAGTATCTGTAAACATGGCTCTTACTTGATCTCAATACATAATTCTCAATTTTTTTAATGATCAAAATAAAAAAAAAAAAAATAAAAAAAACCATACTCCACAGCTGACATGGCCACAGTCTATTCAACACGTATTTTTTTTATTTCCACCATCCCACATTTCTTCTCCCAACATTACCGATCCGTAACATGACCTCTTGGTGCACGTTGCACCACAATCAGCTGCAACGCCACCAGAATACCCATCACCACTTCCACATTCAGTCCTACCTTCACTCTCCAATAAAAGAAGCCCACTGCAAAACAACTGTGGCTTTATTTTCTCCCCCCAAAGCTGTTGTAGAGAGATAATATTAAAAAAAAACAAAAAAAACAGGCACCACTTTGAGCCAGTTACTCCATTTTCCTTTCCCCTCTCAAACAATTTCTCTGTATTCTCCTCCAAAAACGTGTGAAATCTTGTGCCGTAGTTAGTTACTCTGCAGTTGTTCTGTTTCAGTGTTCATTACAAAAAGAGGAGCGAGGTTGGGGAGAAAAAAAAACTAAGGGTTAGAAGAGGAAGGTAACACAGTCTTTCCGATGCACCTCGAAGGGCTGAGGGGTCGCCTGTCAGTTCAGCCTTCAGTCTCTCAGGATCCATGAAGCTGTTCAGTGACACGTCTACCTCCGTCTGGCTTTTGTGCTCCAGTAGTTAAACACTGCTGGGGAGTTCCCTGACATCCAAAGGTGTGTATGTTTTTCTCTGTCCGTCTGTGTGTTTATGCGATGAGTGATGCCGAGGAGAAGGGCGGTCACAATATGGCGCAGTGGAACCTGTGGGAACCAGTGGAACGTTCCGCTCTCCACTTCATCTTCTTTTTCTTCTTCTGGTTTCGCTCTGGGACCTGTTGTCTGCAGGTGGGGGTGGGAAGAAAATTTTAGACAAAAATTAAGATTTCAGAGTTCAAATTTGACTGGAATGATTGAACAAAAACTTGTTTTTCTACACATAAATGTAAAGAAATAAAAAAAGCCAGGATTTTGTCCGTTTTGATGATGAATTTGTTTTGTGTCAGTTTTTCTTTTGATATTTAAGCAACTTGTATGAAGAGACTTTGCTTTCTTT